ATGGCTAAACCAATAAAAAGTCTTGAATCGCATTATCCAATGATCCAGTTTTTAATAAATTCTGTTATCATACCAACTGGTTTCTTCTTTAATTATCCTGGTCAAAGGCTTAGCAACTGAGTACATGAGTTTCTAATGGGCTATTGATAACATTTATATTTTGGCCATTAACTTCAACATCAATTTATGTGTACTTACCTTTAATTTGTCCAAAGAACCATTGACAAGCCATGGACCATATGTAACAAATGTTTCTTTTGCTTTTAACACTAGTTCTCTCTATCCAAAAACACATTACGGGGGAGAACACAAAGGATTCATTGATTTGTCAGTATACTAAAAGGTATTATTCACACAAAGACAGTATCACAGAAATATCAGATAATAAAGATGATAAAAGAATGATAAAATAGTAACAGTAGTATTAATATTAACAATTAGTAATTATAATTATAACAATACAAACCTAGATGACAATGATAATGATACAATAATTATGAAGGTGGTAATAATGATGTTAGAAATTCTATGTTAAGATCTTGATGAGCTACCAAAATCAATGTTCAAACTAGGATCTAACATATACAAACCAGGTATATATGGAGTTATATGAAATCTAACATGCCGAAATACAATACCTCAAATCCACATGTCTTGACAGTAAAAGGAAATTTCTTTTGGTTTTGCACTTGTTGATTCAGTTCATGCAACTCAGCTAATGCTTGCTGTAGAAGAACTGAATTTTCTTGAGTTTGTTTCATGAGGCCTGTGAGGAGTCGTTCCACTGTAATAATAGGAGAAAGCCACTACATTACGAGTGAAATCTGCAGTCTGTTAAATACATGTATATTTAACCCAAGCCCTGACACTAAGCACGTACCTGTCGATGGGTGCCCAGTTATAACGGTGTATGGTTGACCATTGCTTGCAGAACTTGGGGGATCTGATAGTGTTACATGATAAACACCTGAATCATTCACAACACCTGCTTCTTCTTGAGGCTTTTAATTGTAGAGAAGAAAACGGAGAAGTCTTAGGAACCACCTCCCCTAAAAATGACAGGGTAGGGTTGGGTTTGTTGCCAAAAAAAAAATCCATTTCAAGACTGCCTGCACCAAGACATCACAACCTGTGGCACTGTGCCTGTCAGGATCTTTTCTTTATAAAAATGACATGCATGTGGCCTGAGCATGTCATTTTACTTTATGCATTTTTTGTATCCTTTTAATCCCTTTGCAATTTTATTGCTTTCTTGTTTCTACTATATATATCTAGTTTCGAGGTCCTTTTTGAAAACCATATCTGTTATGAAAAAGTTTCCTCAATAAAGATGATTATTATTATTATAAGAAACCAGCGAAATCTTGAACCCCTTCCATGCAAATTTCAAAGGTGCTTATGATAAAAATTTCCATGGGTAGAGGGGGGGAGAGAAATTCAGATGAAAATTATTTTAGCAGTCACTTTTAGCACGGAGTCAGTCTTTGAAGAGCATCCTACAATGTTCTTTCAGAATTTATATTAGCGCCCCTTTTGAGCATTAACGGAGCTTTACAACAATTTTTCTGAAATCTGAACCCTTTAGTTTGAGTCCCTTAATTAAAATCCTCTCAGATCAGAGCCAGAAACTTACCCGGTAAAGGTGGTAATTAAGTTAATCAATATCAAAGCTAAGGTCTTGTCCCAATCAAGCTGGTTTTGAATTGCACAGTGAACAAAATCAAAAAAATAAAAGCAGGTTTGTTTCCAAATTCACCCTGAACTCGTCGAAGACACAACTCGTTCGTCACATGTTGGTTAGGGCATTTCATTCGTGAACGATATAGGAGCCATATTGGTGGCCAGTGAATGTCCGTGTATCAATGCCACATTGGGTAAGTGGAAGTATCTAAACTTTTCCACAACAACTTACCGCTGCATAGTTCTCCAAGTTCGCTTCATCTTCATCAAAGTTAAGAGTTGTCATTCCTTTGGACAAAAACAAAAATATTAAACTCTTACGAAGATAAGCTTGGACACTCCATTAATTGTGAGATCGGAAAAAAGACGAAGTTTTCCCACGAATATTATCCGAAGATGATCCGGAAATTCTCCGGCTGGGTTTTGCCTCAAGTAAACTGGGTACTAGACGACATCTGCAAGCGTTCAAAATGGCGGCGGTAAGTTACCATGTGCAGATAGGAATTATCTTTCTTTAACTAGATAAAATCGTATTTTTCCATAAAAAATAACTATGATCGTCGCTAATTCGAGCCGAACGTGCTTTAAATGTTATTGGTGATTAGTTTGTTTACTCTAGAAAGCTAAAAACACTTCAGCGTTACTATGTTCAAGCATGAGTTTGTCGGTGTGCACTGTAATGTCAATCAGATCTTTCCTTGTTTTGGTTTTAACTTTTGTTGTCTTTTTCAAAGAATGTTGTTTCAAAGACTATCGTTTAAATAAGCTAGACTGGTTTCTCAGCAGAGTAGATACTGCCATATTACACCTAATACTTTTTTATTTACACTGGCTACCAGTTAAATTTCGAATTGTTTATAAAATTCTTTTAATTACCTTTAAGGTTCTTAAAGGTTTGGCACCTACATATCTAGCCTCTTTAATTTTCATTAAGTCACCTTCGCGGTATAATCTTAGGAGTTCTCGTGATAGCCTCCTCCTTAGTTATCCTAAAAAGTTGTCTAAAGTAACTACTGGTGATCGCTCCTTCACGAATGCTGCGCCGTAACTTTGGAACGCGCTTCCTCTGGAAATTAGGTCTGAAACACTGTTGCTGGCTTCAAGTCTAAACTCAAGACACATTTGTTTAGTTCTGCGTTTTCATAGCCTGCCTAATATTAATTACTTATTTTATCGTATACCGTATGTTAATTATTCTATATATTGTGATCCTTACCTATTTATTATTGTTCTCTTAGTTTTAAACTATTTAAATAGTGATATGTTGTAATGCGCATTTGAGCATATCCACATGGAATTTGTGCACTGCAAATGCTGTATTATTATTATTATTAATGTTCCTAAAATAAAGATGTGCATACTGAAAGTAATAAAACTGCAACTTCAGTCGTGCAGCAATTGTTTTTGTCGAAGGCAGAGATGAAACACTGTTGAAGTGATGATATCCTGCAAAGTCTGTACATCTACAGATGCCCGTTAGTTGTGGTCAGTTCTACGTCATGAGTTTATTTGTGCCTTTTTTTTGATACCATCTTGCAGGCTGCAGCACAGAAAGTTCAAGAAGTGAGAGATATCACTAGGATTGAAAGAATAGGTTAGTTGTGATATAAAGAAATAAAAAAATTCATGCATTGCAGGTATGAAATACACCCATGCAGGGGTTTCATTAATTTTTTCAGCAGGAGGGCAACTGGTTTTCACAGGCGGGCAAAGTTTTTTGAACTAAACTTCTTTATAAGATAAACCTTCCTCCAGATTGTTAAACCAGGTGGGCAAATCGGTCCTTACAACCAGTCAATTTGGCCGGTGACCGGCCCTTAATGAAACCCCTGCCCATACTCTCCATTCATTACTAAATTTGTAAAATAAATGTTAAAATAACTGCTCAACCATCACATTTTAGAAGTAACGTAAATAAAATCATTCAACTTTTTGATAAGGCTGTGTACATAGTGAAAGTTAATGTCTGAAAATCCACCTGTGGGATAACTAGTGTGCTGATTTAAGTGTAGTGATGTGAAGAACTTTAAACAACAAGCATCAGTAAGAAACTCAGTCCTGTTAATGTGCTGATCCACTCCAAATCCATTTGTAACAATGATTATATTTAACCCTCTGTTTATTACAAGGACACACAAATATTGTTTCACACTTTTTAAGGGTTTTGTTTCAATGGATATTTCTGAACAAGTTAATAATAAGATGCTTAATTTCATTGTTTCTTTTTTGGTGCAATTTAGGTGCCCATTCCCATATTCGTGGTCTTGGCTTAGATGATTCACTGGAAGCAAGACAGGTACATATCTAATATTAACTTGAACTTTATATCATAAAATATCTGCGTTACTTCTCAAGTTATTTGGCAAGTTTAGCAGGCTTTACTCTTGTCTCCCAGTTAGCTCAATGGATAGAGCGCTGGACTGTTGTGTGGGAGGTTGAGGGTTCGAGCCCTGGCCGGACCAACACTCAAAGGTCTTAAAACAAGTGAGAAGAATATGCTACCTTTCTATATCAAGAAATGGTTAGATACTCTAGTCTTCTCGGATAGGGACGAATAAATGGAGGTCCCGTCTCCTGCAGGGTTAGGGGTAGGGGACATTAATTTCCTATGCATGAGATTACTGTGTGATGGATGTCCTCCCCTGGGGTGGTTGCTGGGTGGGAATTGGCCCTGAAAAGCCCCCATGGGGAGTGGTCAATTAACATATGTATGTATGTATGTATGTATGTCTTTGCCTGGGTAAAGTAAAAGGAAGTTCTAGTGGTCAAAGTCTCTTGTCATTTACCCATAATTGGCCAATCACTCCTGTTAACTACTACGCAAGGAAAGTTGCAACTGCCAGATGAGAGAATTCCATATCAGATCTCAGGAGTTGAAGGATTGTTACCTACAGTTAAAATGTGTTAACTTGGATCAAATGCAAAGGCTTACAGTCCTCATACATACTTTGCACTGAATGGAAAAAAGGAGGAATTATTTTGTCTCATCACTATGTTAGATATATACTTTTTGTTCTTCTGGATCATGAGATATTTTGCTCCTCTTTTATAGGTTTCTCAAGGAATGGTTGGTCAAGTTGCTGCCAGAAGAGCAGCTGGTGTTATTTTAGAAATGATTAAGGTACTGGGCTGTGGTAAAGATACATTGTATTTTATTCTCGTGTTACTTTCTTTGTCTCTCAGTTTGAATCATGGGCTGCTTGAACAAGTTTTCTCTTGGTTTCTAATGGAAATACTGTAAATAATGTGATAATGAATAGATACTAGATAAATTTATACATGTGGATGACTGAAATTTTAAAATTATTCACTATTTCCAAACTGATTGAATGCATGATTACAGAACAGAAATCCTGGATCAGTGAAAGAGAGAAGGATCTGAATAAAAGACCTTTGTCTGCCTTTGTTAACCTAATTACAGAGCCAATTCAAGTGACTGAAAAATACAAAACTTTAATTGATGTCATTCTATCCAGTCACGTGGAACGCTTTGCTACAAGTGGTACCCTTTCTCTAATCCCTTTCTCTAATTTGCTACAAGTGGTACCCTTTCTCTAATCCCAACTTGGGATTAGTGATCACAATCTCATTTACACTATCAGAAAATGCAAATTACCAAGACCTAAACCTTGCACTATGGAATATTGTAGCTTCAAACATTTCAAAGAAAAGGACTTTATTGCAGCTTTACAAAACATTCCTTGGCATACTGCCTATCTCTATGAAGATATTAGTAGCATCTGGGAACACTGGTTGAAACTTTATAATGATGTACTTGAGTTGCATGCCCCTTTGCAAAAGAAACAAATAAGATCAGACCAACTGCCCTGGATAACACCTGAAATAACACATGAAATATCTCGACAGAATGGAAGTCTCATTGTAAACAACAGACCACCACAATAAAAATTTGTTATTGTGCACTGCACATGATTATTTATAGTCTTTTATACTTAATAAGTAATTTTCATTATTTTCAGTATTCTGTAATTACCCACGCGCATTGTAAATGAGCATACCAAATGCTCGGCTCCTAAGCATTATGTGGATAAATAAACTATCTATCTTGGTTACCAAGTCACTATGCATTCTCCATTCACTTAGTTTTCATTGATCGTAACAGATTAACTTCAATCCCTAATTTTAGGAGGGCAAAATTGCAGGAAGAGCTGTTTTGATTGCTGGACAGCCTGGTACAGGAAAAACAGCTATTGCTATGGGTAATGTGCCCTGTGAATAAACAGGTTCTCTTTTGAATTTCTTCCTGTTTCATGGTTTACTGTAAATCCTCTATTAAGCCCTCCCCCCCTAATAATCCACCCCCCTCTAATAAGCCCCCCTCTAAAGAAGAAGAAATTGAGCCCTCCCTCTATTGAGCCCCCCACCCCTCTCCCTCAAATAACAAAAATTCAAAATAACACTCCATGTCAGTAAGCACAATAAATTTATTCAAGTACTGTAATATTAGTTCATTTGACTTAAGTTTGCTGTTTTGTTGTGTTTCTGCTTTACTGATTTACAAGGTGATTTTGACAAATCATTCAACTCATCAGACTTTACTGAGGATTTTGACTCTGCCAATTTGGTAAATGAAAAAATGTAAAATGAGAACAATTTTTGAAAAAGTACAGTACATCATATCCTATTGTATCCTGGTAGTGAACATCAGGCTAAATGAATAAGCCCCTCCCCCCCTCTAATAAGCCCTCCTCCCTAATAAGTCACCTCCCCCAATATATAAGCCTGGGGGGAGGGGGGCTTAGAGGATTTACAGTAGCTTCAGTTATAAGTCACTTGTTCAGGTAGAGAAAACATACTGTTGTTACAATTGTCCCTGCCTCATTGCATTGAAAATACTGAAATAATAGGTAACTATGAATCCTGTGTTGCATACATGGGTCTGGAAATTGCTTTGTACTTAACAACATGTTGAGATAAACTTTGTGGTATGCATGTCACTGACCATTTGTCAAGATGCGTTTATTTTTATTATAAAGTAACTTGAAATACAAGTGTAAATAATCAATGACTCTCTGATTAATCATCTTTCTCTCTAGGAATGGCACAGTCTCTTGGCCCTGACACTCCCTTTACAGCTATAGCTGGAAGTGAAATCTATTCTTTGGAAATGGGAAAGACAGAGGCCCTCACACAGGCTTTCAGAAGGTCAATTGGAGTTAGAATCAAGTGAGTTATAAAACCTACTGTATCTTGAAATTTTCCCTGTAGATCATATCTCTGTGGGATTTTTTTCTTTTTCATCTCTTTATTGATTTTTCTCTTATGGGAAGTATTCTTGTGTTCCTGGTTAGGTTTTTGTTTTGAGGTGGTTTCCTCGGTGTTTGAAATCTTGGGTTGGATTCGAGTTTGAGATTTGGGTACAAAATGTATTAGTTGTGCCATTTTTTTTAACTTTCACAGTAGTTGCTTTAATGTTGACTTAATTTCTCATTTGATGCTGTCTTTTCTCAGAGAGGAAACTGAAATAATAGAAGGTGAAGTTGTAGAAATACAAATTGACAGGCCTGCCAGTGGAACAGTAAGTTGTTGAATTATTTTTCTTCAACTTCAAGTTTTTTTTTTGTTTTTTTTTTAAGAACCAATTATTTTATAGGTGGATACTCCCACTTTTTCTAATATCATTTAAAATGGTATTGAACAATAGTCTTGTTATTGTTAATCAAGTTGTTTTTTCTTATAATGGGTTAGCATGGTATCACTAGTTTGAAATTCCTTTAATTGAAGCTTTTTCCTGTAAGTCTGGAAACCATCTTTTTATTTCATTTCATTGAGATCAGCCTAAAAAGAATAATTTTCAAATTTATTTATGTACTGTTTTGTTTGCTTTATCCTTTCTAGGGAGCCAAAGTTGGCAAACTGACATTAAAAACAACAGAGATGGAAACCGTTTATGATCTTGGAACAAAAATGATAGAATCTTTGACAAAGGAAAAAGTGCAGGCAGGGTAAGAATTTTGATAACTACGGTATATGTATAAATTTAGTACTAGCAGTCAACTGTCATCATCACAGAATGTAAGTTTTGAGTATAATTCAGTCCCAAATTCCCATCAGAGCTTTAAAGCATATGCTCTACATGACTTTAACTTACATTTTTCATCAATATTTGTGTTTTAGGGACATAATAACAATTGACAAAGCAACAGGAAAAGTCTCCAAGCTTGGACGCTCATTTAACAGAGCCAGAGATTATGATGCCATGGGGCCACAGGTTTATTTTCTTTTACTCTTTATTCTTTATTGTTTGGGTTAATTTGCCGAATTCAAGATAACCTGGCCAACAGATCAGGACACTGCACCCCTGATGAAGAACTCTGGGTTCTACTTCTGATCATTGTGTCGTGTTCTTGGGCAAAACATGCATATGTACCTCTCACAGAGCTTCTCCATCTAGGAGTGTAAAATTCAATAGGTTCAACTCAATTACTTGGGGAAACTGATGGAATTAGCTGGATAAACTGTGGTGGGCTCTTTACTAGTGTCCAGTCCAGGAAGAGTAACACTGTATTTCCTAATTACTTTATGATAAGCAATGGCTGCTTCAGAGGTCAGTCTTGTTTGTAGACTTTTTCATTAAGATAAACCTCCCAGAAACAATCATAGTTCCTAAAATTTTACTGAACAACAGATCAACTCTTTCAAAGCTTTGAATATCAGCCTGAGTTAACTTGTCCATTGTGGACAAGTACCTACTGTAAAGTTTACATGTAGATTATTTTTTTCATCCTAGACCAAGTTCGTCCAGTGTCCTGAAGGAGAGATACAGAAAAGAAAAGAGGTTGTTCATACCGTCACTCTCCATGAAATTGATGTCATCAACAGCAGAACACAGGGGTTCTTGGCTCTCTTCTCAGGTACATCTGGATCAATGATATGCTGTTCATAACTACAAACACTGCAGTCAGTTTGTTTGTCATCTGCATGCAGTACAGAATGAATTTAAATCAGTCTTTAATAAAATCAGCAACAACAAACGTGTAACTTACAATGTGTTGATAAGAAAATTATAATTAGGATTATATAAAAATTTGTGACATTGTAAAGTTCCTTATATACAGTGAATTTAATTGAAGAGGCATCTATTAAGAAAACAATGCTTGGAGCACACGTCTTTTCTTTTAAAATTATTTCAAAAATTGTAAAGGAGAGAACAACTTCCTTGGATGATATCTGTTAGTTTGCTTGTAACACATCTTGTTACACCTACAATTTCATGCACCAGTGTAAATGAATTATCAGAAAAATCTTATCTAAGCACTTGTTTTACTATGTTAAGGTGACACTGGTGAAATCAAGGGAGAAGTACGAGAACAGATCAATGCTAAAGTGGCAGAATGGAGGGAAGAGGGAAAAGCTGATATAGTACCAGGGGTAAGATGATTAATTTTTTTATTGATTGTTTGTTTGTTGGGTTTGTTTGTTCATTGATAAGTTATAATCAGGATTAACAACGAGAAAAAGGAACTTTTGGATATAACACTTTTGTACACAAGAAGCTTATTAACATAACGTAATGTCGTGTACTTTTGTCCTCCAGGTCCTGTTTATCGATGAAGTTCACATGCTTGATATTGAGTGTTTCTCTTTTTTAAACCGAGCTTTGGAAAACGACATGGCACCAGTTCTTATCATGGCTACAAACAGAGGAATCACTAAGTAAGAAAGCGTTAAACTAGCACTATCCTGCTCCCTGGGCTCCTGTGTGTGTAGGACCAACAAACAACCCTGGTAACTAGAAAGTGTGTCGCGACAAACACCACTAAATACAATTGCAAAGATAACTTCTCAACGATGCTCTTGTAAGAAAACTGTCGTACAGTAATACTGTATGCAACCACCTGAATTGCCATTTCATCTTAAGCTCACAATACGCTTCAATCAAGTATAATAAAAAACGACATTTAACTTGTAAGTGCTTCTTGAAAACGATGTACTACTACAAGACTCTTTTTTCTTGTAGAATCCGTGGTACCAATTACAAGAGTCCTCATGGAATACCTCTGGATCTGCTAGATCGGCTGTTGATTATCTCTACATCACCTTACCAAGAGAAGGATCTGAGACAAATTCTTACCATAAGGTAAAGTGAGCAAGAAACATTTACTTTTCTCTTGCCTACGTGCAAAATTATTAGTTTGATCTAATCAAGGCTTTGTTTGTAGGATAAATGTTGTTCTGTTTTATCAAAATGGGACTGAATATGGTCAAATTGCTCAAAGGATCTCGAACCCACAGGTGCAGATCATGACGTCTCAAGGGAGCGACATGTTCCGAGGATGGCTCCTTGTCATTTTGACAACGATTGGAAGCGGAAATTATTTAACTATATGTTTCACTGTTTTTTGTTAGTATAGGCTGCTAAGTAGGAAGCAAAAATGTTTTACTTTGTAGTGTTTATTCAATCTGTTGTGTTACAGATGTGAGGAGGAAGACGTTGAGATGTCCGAAGATGCTATATTTCTGTTGACAAAAATTGCTCAGGAGACTTCACTAAGATACTCCATTCAGCTAATCACTGCTTCCAGTCTAGTTTGCCGGAAACGAAAGGTAAACTGTGATGCGAAGTTAGGTACTAATACCATTGCAGTCACCTTTTATCAGCTGTAAAGATATTCATAAAATATTTGTGTCACAAGATACGGAAGAGGAGGCTGTGAAACGAAAAATAGTGAAATACTAGAACCTAAGCAAATTGCATTGAGAGTGACATATGTGTACTAACCGTGTCTTCCGATTTTCTCCAAGGGAACGGAAGTTAATGTGGATGATATTAAACGGGTGTATTCGCTGTTTCTGGACGAGGCTCGCTCGACCCAGGTTCTTAAAGAATACCAAACAGAATTCATGTTCCATGAAGACGAGTCGACCGATCCCGTATCTGAAGCTATGGAGACTGAGGCCGAGACTGCCTGATGAAAATTTCACATCTCAATATACAATGCTTGTTACACTTGTTTCCAGTCTATGGAGGAGTTGTGTGTTGCCATGAGCATCAAAAGAGACTCTTGACGCGAATTAACAACCAAATTGTTGGATTGAAAACGACTCACTATAAGCTAAGTTGCACCGTTTTCAACGGCGGCAAGTCTGTTTTATTGAAAAATGCAATAACAAGATGAATTGTAAGAACCTGGTATTTCGCTGTTACCGCTCTAAGCACCGTTCACTTGGCTCATTTTACCCTTGTAATCGTACCATACAACAGGTATTAGTTGCTATGAAATCTTTTCATTTAATATGTGATGTAGTTTGTAGCGAGTGTTGTCGTAGACTGTTTATAATAAAAAAAGTAGCATTTTGCATATTAATGGTCTAGTGTCGTTATACCTCACCTCTTTCAATTTGGCATTTTGCGACATTCAGACGGCGTGGGGTAGGCAGAACTGAAGCTTACTACAGCCAGAAGATCATTTATAACAGCCGTAGTAATGGGATTGCATGGGTTTCAATCACGGTGGCTGAAAGTCTCGCTCACAAAGAGGTGATCTATTTGGTGAGTACCTCGCATCGCAAGTCTTTGGCCAGAGCCTATCATTGTTCATTTTTGTGTTTCGCGGCCTGCTGATCTGCACTGCTAGACAAAATGATCGCGGGTCTGGCAAAGAGGTTGACATGCTTTCCAAAGACCGTGTTTTTTTTTTATCACGACAAAATATTATACCAGCCTCCAATGAAACGAAAAAGCAGGATGACTTGGAATTAGGTAACTTCACAAGGTCTCTAGCCTACAACCCTAAATCAAAACTTTTTGTTGTTTTCTGTTTGTTTTTGTTACATTGTCTATTTTGTTTGTTTGAGGGGTTTGTGCGCCACCACATTGGAGAGATTTAGCACCGCGTTTACGTGAAACAGCAAACTTGTCCTTTCACGTTCCACGTAAAATAGCGTGAACCTTGCTGCTTTAGCTTTGCGTGAGATCACGTCATAGTGGATTTGAAGGTGCCCTTGTATGACTCAACAAGGGATAGTTTGGGTGGCCTTTTTCCAGCAA